CCAAAACAGGGAATGATGATGGTTTACATCAGTGGTTCCCAAAGTCCGTCCTCAAGGGCAGGTGTTCTATCAGATAGCCCTACGCTGTCAGGATAGCATACATGCAGTTAGTACGCATGCCCGCGCATGCGCATTAAGAAGTCCGACCGTCAGTGGAGTTGTCAGTTCAGCATACGCATCAAGTTATGATGAAAATAAGTCATTAAATTGTTTATAAATATGACATAATATGATAACTAGATAGATATACATGCGTTGTCGTGGTTTCAAAGTGTATTTAAAGCAGGTCTGGCTGCAGCTACAGTCAACTACAACACACGCCTGTGTAAAACTCATTAATCTACTTAACCGCTAAGTCAGGATGCCATACAGCTGTTAATAACAAAGTGTATGATGATCTACGTCATGATTCTATGTTGCTGATTAAATAAAATCATATGGTAATGACAGCATATACATGTCTGAGCTAAGCGTATGACTATCTGACAATGTATGCTGATCTGACAGAACAGCGGCATGTGTGTCGGAGAACCAACTTACCATTACAGGAACACCGTTTATCTGCCATGCTAACTAGCATTAGCATTCACAACACGGTCTGCTAGCTGCTGCTTAGCAGAGAGCAAACAGAGAGGGAGTATGAGCAGCGCCACACAGCGGGGTGACTGACAGCGCTAAGACCCGTCTCCTTGCTCTGATTGGTTGTTTCTAGTTGCGCTGGGAAAAGGCAGCGCTTGACTTTTTCACAGGTCTTTTATCTCATACATATTGTCACGACACAGTGAGTTTCAACAAATATGTAAATAAATAAATAATAAAAGTTACATATTGAAGCTTTAACACATTTCCTACTTTACTGAGATTACTCCTGGTTTTCCCCTCCTCTGCCAGGTCCTGACAACTCCTGGTTCTCGTGGGGTTTTCTTTGACTCGGCAGCAGAGCTTCTGACAGCTCTCAGCCAGGAGGAGAGGGAGCTACTGGAAACCATCACAGAGAAAGGATACCCGTTACGCACTGCCATCCTGGCTCTGCAGAAAACTGGCTATCAGAGCCCAGAGAAGGTTGGTGTCTGTAGAGACTCTCATTGATTTCTAACAATCCCTAAACCAATTAGCATTTGTAATAACCTCGCTATTCACGTTTGTAGGAGAGGTTTGACAAAAAAAAGAAAGAAAAAAAAACAACCTTTGGTCTCACCGAACAAAGCCGACCTCTTGCCTCACACAGCACCTCTCCTCTGCTCAGCTTCTTCAGACTAGCAGCAGCAGCAATTAGTAAACACCTGGTTTAACTGAACATCTGCTGAGCTCATCATAGGAGCAACTTGTCAGTACAAATGCTCCTAAAAACATTATTAAAGGCTTAATGGAGAAACGTTACCTGCTGAAGGCGGAGTGTCTCTTCTTAAAGAGACAGAGGCCCAGTTTCAAAGCGTTAGATTTCTTTTACGTCCCGTTTGATATATGCAGCATTTTTACAACTGATGGTAACATAATTACTTGATTGTGCTATAAAATGTACATGTAAAATACACAATACTGCCCCTTAAAAATGCCTTTCTAAATGGTGCACATGTTTGTGAATTAATTTGTTAATTAAATCCAAGCATAGCTTCCTGATTTTCTTCTTCTTCTCAGGTCCTGAAATACCTGGTTGCATGCGATCGTCTTTGCCAGCTGGGCTATGATGAGGCACAAGTGGAGGAAGCTTTGGAGATGTTTCAGAATTGTGAGAGCAAGGTGAAACAATCCTATGTTTACGTTTAGGCTAACAACAAAAAAGATTAATCAAATTCCAGTTTGCATGTCACGAAAAAGTGTGGTAGTAAAAGAGCATGCAAGCAGCAGAGGTGTCCTCTGGTGGTGAGGATTGGAAAGTTCTCCAGACTTTGGAGATTCACAAGGTTTGGGCTGATGGTGTTCTCTACCCGCTGAACGAAGCACAAACATATTCACCAGACACAGACACACACTTGCAGTTTTTGTTAGATTCATAAGTTTAAACTGAAACTTAAGCTTCAATTTAAACTTAAATTGAAACTTAACTGATTTGGAAAACAGTTTCTGTTTTCCAAAACAGAAACTGTTTTGGAAAGCAATTTTTTTTTACCCATTTTGTTATACATGGTTACTTATGAATTATTGTAATTTTGGTCCTTAAAACACCAACATTTCCACTTAGCTTTATATTTTGGTCCATCTGATATAATTTTTAAATATTAAATGATTGGTAATTTGACGAGTTACTTGAGCATATTTTTAACCAAGTACTTATTTACTCACGAATAATTTCTTGGATGACTACTTTTTTCTTTTGCTTGAGTAAAATATGAAGTAGTGCTTACCACCTCTGACAGTAAGCTAAAAACTGAAAACATGGGCTTCCTGAGCACCATAGAGCAGTTGCTAAACTTGAGGCCTGGGGCCCAAATCTGGCACACTAAGATTTTGTGGTGCTTAAATATTTTAGCAAATAAAAGCAGTTTGTGGCTATACTGCCAAATTATATTTTGAATTTGTTTAATATTCAACTTCAAGCACTCAAATGGAAACAGCTATTTATTTATACTTTAAGCAGTTTAACACATTCTTGCCACAAGCAGCCTTTGTAGGACATTCATGATCTCAACAAGTTTTCCTCCAAGCACTGATGCAGTAACTCAGACTCTGAACAATCACTGAGTACAGTACATTATATAGACTAGTGTGTTAGTGTTTACTGGAATAATAAACCTTAAATGGCATTCTATGTTTTTTAAATGCCCTTGTTCAACTTGACTTGCATAACTGATCGTTATATTTCTGTTTCAGGCTGCAGAGTTCCTCCACTTGCTGACTCAGTTTGATGAGATGGGCTTCCAGCAGAGCGCAATCAAAGAAGTGCTGCTTGTTCATGAAAACCACCGTGAGCGGGCTCTGGAGGAGCTGATGACTCGCATGGCTTAGGTGGTCCAGTCTGAAGACACGGCGTCGGGCGTAAAACATTTAACTCGAGCTGCAGCAGCAAACATGAAAACCTTTAACACTTGTCAATAATTAGTCTTAGTTCAAATGTTTTTGAAATTTTATTGACAGATTTAAAATATATAAAAAAAAGTGTCAAAGAAAAAAAAAAGCGTCAAAATGCCACAAAATCTTATGACAGGACAAGTATTTACAGAAGTGAAAACGGCTTTGAACCATTACTGATGGCCGACAGTGGAGTTCAGCAGGCCCGTCTCCACGGACGATGTAGCAGCCTTTGAGAGGTCCCTCTGCAACGACAAGTAAATTAACTTGAGCAAAAAATACAACCTAGTAATGCTGTGAAATGCAATCCCTTTGAGGTTCCAATTTATGAAATTATTTTAAGACGATTCGCAATTGTTCTCCCTAACATACTGAAATTACTGGTCTCCTTTTGTTTGCTATGGCATGCCATTTTATCCACTTATGGGTATGAAATGCAGCTGTCTGCTTTGACAGAGTAAAATAATTTTCTATGCTTAGTTTGGTCTGTTGTAAGAGAAATGCATTCTTGACTTGAATAAAAAACATTTTTCCAACAGAGAATGGCTTGTAGTTATTTTTGGGTCAGTCTCATTTTGTAAGACTGATCACGACCAAAATAAATTAAAGTGGGGATTAGTAATGAAGCACCACCAAATGACAGTCTCTTCTTAAATTGTGGACTGTTACTATCCACCAGCATAAACGTTCTCTCCCACTAACAATTTGAGTAATTTCAAAGTGCTAAAACCCAGCGTAGATCCAACAACCTGTTCATTCAGGTAAGAGAAAGTTGTGACTGATATCTTCACTCCAATAAATATAAACTAAATATTTCATAATCTGCAGTCAAACTTTAATCGCAGAAGGACATTCCTCAAAATTCTTCCTTGATACCAAATTATAAAAATCTTCCTGAACCCAGAACCTCACTATCAAGGACTAAATACAAGTAAAACCTAATTTACCGCAAATTCAGAATAGGAGCCAGCAATAGAGTTGATGGTGAAGGTGAGATCTTGAGCATCCTGAGACTTTGACGTGCCACATGGAGGGTTTCTGAGATGGGAGAGGTTTTCCTTATTCCGCTCTAATCCCCGCATCGTGTTTCCGTGCCCTGGGGTTCGCAGACTCTGCAACAACAACAGGAAGTGGTTATTACTTTTTGGTCTCAACATGGCAAGATGGTGGTTGGGACATATTCAGCTGTTAATGTATAGTTTGTATGTTACAGTCTCTGTAAAATGCTCCTTTAAAATGAAAACAAAAGGTGTTTGGAGACGATAAGGACAAACCTTGGTGGCAGACAGAGGTGGTTTCATTGAGGGCGTCTGGCACATGGTTCCACTGAGAATGCTGCTTGGAGTAGAAAAAGTCGAAGTGCTATTCATCTAAAAATCAAGAAATATTTCAATTTTAATTCCCTCATCATTTTTGAGCAAAAAAGAGAAGAAAAAACTGCAGAAGTATTTCACCTTTCTCATCTTTCCAGGTGTGGGAGTGCCTGCAATTCGTCGTTTAGTTGGCGTTCTCATCATTGTTCCATACAGCATATCCTCTTGTATTTGCTTAGTTTTCTTCATTTGCTATTAGGAAACATTTGGAATCAGTCTGTATAATGGAAAGTCAAAGGTTAAAGTAGCTTCAAACTTAAAGCAATAAAAGCTATACCCTTTCAAGTTTCTCCCTCTCCTTTTTCTCGTGGTGCTCTTTCCACTGCTGCTGCACATATTCCAGAAATTTCTGTCCGTTCACAAGGAACTCTTTGCCGTGCTCCTCCTCCCAACTATCGATCTGGGCCTTCAAAACCTTCTCCAACTGAAAAGCATTTATAAGCCGTTAGACGCATTACTCCACCTGCTGACAACAGGTGGTATTACAGTTTTACAAAAACATTTTTATCCACCTTGGGTAAACTTTTCTGCAGCTCAGTTCTCTGCTTTTCTTCCTTTAGGAGGTTCCCCCCTCTGTTGGTAAATCTTGAAGGATCATTAGCCTTTCTCTGGAATAGGAAAACATTAAGATATCACTACATGAAGTTTATAAAGCCTTCTCCCTTGAAGTTGGATATTTCTTACATCTAGTTCCAAGTACAAGTTCCAGTTGTCCTGCCACTTTGTGACTCCCTCGAACAGTTCCTTGTGGTCCTCGTGGTACTTCTTCAGATTTCTGACCTCATCCTCATGCAGGTTCAGAAGCTCCTCAGTAAAATCATCTGTAGGAAGAAAAATCGAGCCTGTAACTCGTTTTGATTTATTTGCAGCATCCATCTAAACTAGGGATGCAGCGAAACCACTTTCCCCCTCCCCCATATATGATCCTTGGTATCGGCAGATTCAGATCAGACTTTTTTTTTTTTTTTAAATGGTCATACACGTACTGAATTTAAATGTATTTAACTCTACACAAGTAAAGCACACTTAAATACACCAATACCTTCACAAGCTCGACCAAACATGTAAAGATAACTTTCATTTGTCCAGTCAGTACAATTGGGAGTTTAATAAACAAAGTAAATCTACTGACAAATGTAAGTACCAAGGTCGACTACCTTGGTTAAACACATAAAAAACAAAACTGCAACAATCTTCTGTCAAATGGTTCAGAAGTACAATTAGAAATTCTAACTATAAAGTAAAATAATTAATAAAACATGACATCACCCAGAGCACAAATGATAGAATTGGACTGAATAGATCTGACCTTGTGTATCAGGCACGTTACCACGGATACCTGATCTAGAATTTTATACAATATGGGGAACAATACGGACTAATATTGGATTAGTGTATCCCTGATCTAAACCACAGCCATTTACCGTCATAAAATGCAAAGAAGGTGCGTTGCTGTTCATCACTATAGAAGCATTCCTTCCACAAAACAGCAATCTCTGCTCTGATGGCCTCTATGAAACTCTTCATGCTGTGCATTTTCAACAACTCGAGCCGCTGGACCTCTGCCTGGAGCTGCAAACAGAGTTTAAATTACCACAACTTGGATTAAGTGTCGCCTTTACTAAAAATTGCTGTTTGAACAAACAAGGGAGCTTTCTTACTGCCTCAACGTTCTTCTTCTTCGAGCTAAGCATGTGCTCAGAAAAAGATTCCCTTTCCTCCTGAGGGACCTGAAGCCTTTCCCACAATTCCTGGACCTTTGTGCGGAAGCTTGAACAAAGGAGCTCGTTTTCCGTCTTGCGCTCTTCTAACTGGAGAAAAAACGTTTTAAAATTTTTTGTACTGTACACATAATTCTGATACATCAAGAAACACATTAAGCAAACCAACCTGACTAAGAAGTAGTTTCAGGGCAGTGATGTTGTCATCAGACAGACAAAATGCCTCCTCATCCTCACACATCACATCCATCTCGAAACTGGTCTCAGGACTCTGTTCCAGGTAATTCATGCAAGCGATGATTTTTTTCTTGGTTCCCACAAATTCATCATGACGATGCTCCTGTAAAGAGAACACTGCATGAAAATTTAAAGAACAAAGGTAAAGTGAGTCACTGAGAAAAGCTTTTCCAAAGTACCTTCTCTTTAGTGAGCTTATCGAGGTAGGTACGATAAACCTCGAGCTGCTTCACCGATGGGACGGCGTGCTGGTCAATGCTAAAGGGCGTGGTGCACATAATGTCGCACAGCTCACGATCTTTGGCAACGAGACCCTTAAGGTCCTCCATTCGCTGCGTTTTCTGTCCTTTCATCACTGCTAGACGAGTGCGGCAGTTCTTCTCCATCTGCAGGATTGTGCAGCCTTCCTCCTCCTGCAAGTCAAAAAACACCCTAGTAAAAGATGGAATTACTAAATGCAAGTTAGCTAAGCAAAAGGTATTTCTTTGTGATTGTCTAGCAAGTCTATTGAGACATTTAAAAAGCAGCGAAAAGTCGTTAAGGACAGCGATTCAGTCCTGCCTGTAGTTGTGGTGTTCATCAGTCAATATGCTAAGAACAAACTCTCAAAGTCTTTCTGAATATAGTGGGTTTGTGAAATAAAAAACTTGCTTCCAAAATTAAAATAAGCACCAGAAAAATACTAAATTCAACAGGCATTTATGCCAGTTAAGTACTAAAATAACTTTATGGCATAAAATTATAATTTTTTAACAATTGTCAGAAGTATTGTTGCTTTTGCTTTAAATACAAGCATTAAAACAAAACAAACAAAAACAGTGAAATGTGGCATTTTTACTCAAGATCACTATACTTTGAACATTAAATGTTTCCATACAAAGACATCAGACAGAAAAAGGTTTATGGTGTCTGTAACAGAACTTTTTTTTTTTTTAAACAATGCATTTTTGTCACAATGCACTAAATATTAGGATGTTTTACTATGCAAGACATCTAACATTTTTTGTGTTTTTGATTGTACCTTAAAGGGCGGCAGCTGCAGTTCACTGCACAAAAGACTGAGCTCCTTTTGACATGACTCGATGGTTTTTAGCAACCGCTGCTTTAGATCCTGCTCTTCAACAATCATCAGATCCAACAAGCCCTGCACAAAACGAGAATCAAGAGGTTATTTCACAAGAATACATAAAAATAAAAGCTTAACATTGGTTTAACATTAGCTGGTTGGTTTTTCAACACTCACTTTAATGTGCTTATGTACATCGTTGGTTCTCCGCATCCGCTGCTCTTCAGGGATCCCTATTTCTTCCCAAATATCCTGCAGCCTGGCTAGAGCCCTGTTCAGGTAGGAAACGGACTCTGCTGCATGGACTTGACTGGGAGAAAGACAAACGACTAAAATCTTTAGTGATTTTAATACACAAAAGACAACTTTAAGGTCTGGTAGTACATTAAAAACGAGACACTCCCTTTAAGCTAACCTTAGTTAGCAGTTTACTTTGAGCCACACATAAACTCTTAAATGGCATTAAACTAGTAAAATAATAGTTTCCATTCTCATATACAGATAACAACAACACCCTGGTTGTTTTTAAATAAGTTGTTTTAAGTCAAAAGGCATCACTTTTAGGCTAACAATGGATGTTTAAAGAGTGTAGAAAATAGTTTCCTTAACACAAATAAAGTATATATATATAATCATTACTAACCTCTTTCTCATGTCACCGTCGCAGATAACCCAAATCAGTTACAAAATATTTATTTAGCCGTATGCAGTCTGTGGCTCTCACAGAAATTGCTTAATAGCGTTAAACCCGGTGTGGCTACAGCTGACCGTTTGTGGAGTCTTTTTCAAATTTTCGCCTACAATAGCTGTGCGCTGATTGGCTGGTTAAAAATGCGCAATCACACGTTGCCCTGCTCGTTACTCCCCCCATCAGGATTGGAGTACGTAGCGCAAAACTCCCTCAGCTCAGGTTATTATAAAATCTTGTAAGTTTAACGTGAAAGGAATTTATTTTATTTGTTCAAAAGACAAAGCATCCGATAGCACTATCGTTTTACTATTCTTTAGGGTTAAGGGGAAATTTCCCCCATATTTTCCATCTTTCCTGTCTACGTCCTGCCTGTAAACACTCCTTTGACGGAAACATCCGATTCAGCGCTGGTAAAGTTCGCTTTCAAAGCCCATATATCACCGCTCTTCAAATCTGTTAAATGCAATGGGTATTTTTAGCCTTAGCCGATTTTGTCTCATTTCAGACAGTAAGTGCAACAAATGAGACAGATACAGAGCTAGACGAACAGATCCGAATGTTGCCGAAGGCTGATGACGTAGGCGGCCACGATGCCAAGGGGAAACAAACAACCCTGAACTCAAATAGCAGACAAAGAAACTAGAGCAGATGAAGCTTTAAAACTGGCTTAGTTACCACTAGAATATGGGAATAAATTGAACGAAGACAGGAAAAAACAAGCAGTAAAAATCTTGAAACCTATAATGAAAATGTTGCAGTGAAAAGTAAAATCTTCAGAGTTGAGAGGGAATGAAATGATATTTGGAGATTTCATCCTCACGTTTACAACCAATAAGTCCAGTTTATGAGCTCTAGTGCAAAACCTAATTCTGGTCAAACTTAGACTGGATCACACCGAACAAATGTTCCTAAAACATATCATGAGTTAATGAAACTTTTAATTCTTTGTGTTAAACCACAAAGAAGGAACCACATCAGTGCTTTTTCATATGTAGAAACTGGTCAAATCAGATCAGGCCAATTTAGAAAAGATTAATTAAATGCAGTTAATGATCTGCAACTCTTTGGTTTCTCGTAGAAAAAAGCTAAGGCAACAAATGAAACAGCCTGTTTAGGATTCAGATGATAAAGAATGTTTTAAAAAATATTTGTTTTTGCTTTTTTCATTCTTAATGGTTTATCATCATCAAACATATTCTAATATCAGCAAAGAAAGTCATTTAAATTTTAATATTGGTACAGTGATATTTTAAATGATCAATTTGCCTTAAGCGTCAAAAATATTGTCTAAAATTCAGCTTGTGATTTGTAAAAAGCCTTTCAGGTATCAAACTTTAATTGTAGGATTTTTAGGCTTTCCAAACCCAGGTCTAGATTGCTTAATGCCCTGTTACCACAATAGTTGGACAAATCAAACCTGGGCTTATTTATTCTACACAAACTTATTTAGCTACAACTTTCATTGTTTATTTATTTACATTTTTAGCTTTCACGTTTTTTGTTTTTGTGTGTAGAAATTATTCTGGATTATGAATAACCTAGTCTAACATTTTCTTTTTGCTACACTCCTTTTATCTGAAATCACGGTTAATCCATCCATTTACAACAAACAGGGCTAACAACCAGGAATCAGACCCAGGACCTTCTGTTTTTTACCAAATACTGATAAAAGCTGTGGCACTGCTATATATTAATACTAATACTTCACATAGATAAATGTTTATGTCTTTGCTTGATAAAATATTTAATTTAAGTTCTAGCTGACTTTCTTTCCATGCAGGCTGGCTGCTAGTTTGTGCCTGTGGTATTATTCATATGAAGGATTCTCCCTGTGTGTGACTGGTGGTTTTATTTCCCCAGGTGTTCACCGAGTCCAGCAGGTGTAGAGATGAAGTCTGTGGTGTATTGAATATATTCTCTGAGGTACAGACTCGCTCTACATGCCTCTACAATCTGCTTGCAGCTGCAGTTCTGCTCCAGAACTCCTGTGTTTCATGGCTGCACAGTCTATTACTGAATTTTCTGTTTCAGTGATGCTTTAAATTGGCTACAGAGTACTTTAGCTTCTCACATCTGCTGGTGTGCGTGCGTGCGTGCGTGTGTGTGTGTGTGTGTGTGTGTGTGCGTGTGTGCGTGTGTGTGTGTGTGTTTGTGTGTCTCGCTAAAGTATTCATAGCCAGTGAACTTTTCCATCTTTTTGACACATTACAACCACAAACTTCTATGTATTTTATTAGGATTTTATATGGTAGACTAAAGCAAAGCAACATGTATCTGTGAAATAGAAGAAAAGTTATACTTGATTTTTAAAATTCAATTTGCATTTGCATTCAACACCTTTTACTTTTACAACACCTTTACTTTTACTTCAAATTCTGGTGTCCCCTGATTCTTCTGGTGTCCCCTAATTAGTCCCCTAATTAGGGGACACCAGAAGTGTCCCCTAATTAGGGGACTAATTAGGGGACACTTCTGCCTCAATGTAATCTAGGGGTAATTTCAGTGGATAGACTAGTTGTCTTGCAATTGGAAAATTGCAGGTTTGATTCTAACTTCAGCATGGATGTAGATGTGGGCAATGCACTTAACCCCAAGTAGCTTATAAATGTGCTCACATTTGTAGTTTAAAGTCATTTTAGTGGTCAGTTTGGCTGAAAAAGCATGTCAATGCATTCCATTTACCATTGAATCGAAACGCAACATAAATCCAGCTGTTCTGTGAAGGCCAGAGAGGTTTGTTAATGAACAACCAGCAAGTTGTGGAGAAGTTTAAAGCAGGGTTAGGCTATAAAGCAACCCCAGGTCTGAACATGCCCTAGAGCAATGTTCAATTCACCATCAAGAGAGAGAGTATATGTCTGTCTATATACTCTGTCAGGCCAGGCAAGGGTAGCATTAAATCAGAGAAGCAGCAAAGAGCCCCATACATGAAGACAGGGCTCTTTTTAAGTTTCATGCTGCTTAAAGCAGTAGGGAACTTGAAAAGGTAGCCAAAGATTCACTCTCCGGCAAGGCAGCAACCCTAAAGGTACAACCAGATATACAATGGAGTGGCTCAATGCAATGTGTTAAAGTACAGACCAAACTACAACTTAAAATCTGAGGCAGTTGCTCTGCTTCCAATCGGATCAAACTCAAGCCATTGTGTTAGGAGAAATTCATGCTAAATTTTAGTCTCTAAAACGCTACAAACATACCATCAAAGAAGGATAAATACAAATACAAGCCACACTTATTGGATATTTATTTCCTTCTTGTTTACAATTTTTGAGCAACTTTATGCTGTCCTAGTCCTTAAATTCCAAAATAATACATTGGAGTTTGTGGCTGTAACATGACAAAGAGCGAAAGACTTCAAGTTGTATGCATATTTTTTTTGCAGGGCACTCTAGTATCTATGCATTTAAATCTTTCGGTACTTTTTCTTTTTATATAACAAACAAAACAGGGTTTTGATACCAAGTTCTGACAATCAAACGTTTCTGAGCCACTTCCAGTCCATTAACATATTTTGGATTAAGTTATCTCTGTATATATCATGAGGACACAGATTAATATTTATTTACACATTTAAACAGCTACATTGTGTTTTTTACAAAAAAAATTCTTGTACAAAAAAAAACACTTTTAGAGGAAAATGAAATGGTGTATGTGGATGTTAAATGCCAAAAGCGTCATTCCAAATAAATAAAAAAAAATTGTCAGAAAGACAAATAAAACCTGCAAATCCGCAAGTTAAACATCATTTTGGGAAATTTAGTGATCCGATGATTGTAACAAACAGCCTTTGTTTCCTCCTCAGTGATGATAATGACGTAAATAGAGGCTTTTGAGCACCTCCTCGCTGAACTGGTAGGTGAGCTTCTTCTTCACTTTTTTAATCTCTCCTGTTTTGCCATAGTTCCTCAAGGCTCTGGCCATTTTTTGGTAGGTCATTTTTTTGCGGTTTCCCTTCTGGATGCCCCAGTGGGTCGCCAGAGCCTCTTTGTGTTTGGTGGAAAACTGGAAGATGCCCTTGTCCTGGTCCACCCACCAGATGCTGTCGCTCATGTCGCCCTTTTTGAGCAGGTCCAGGAGGAACTGGTACAGGCGGATTTTCTTCTTGTTGCCTGGAATGGGAAATCACATTTTTGTTTTTTAAAGATTTCAGTAAAGGGGGAAAAAAAAATGAGATCATTATTATGTCACACATTTACACATTTGTACCTGGGTCTTTCCTGAATGAGCAGTTGTAATCTTCATACTCATCCTCCCCCTCTGACACTTGCAGCGGGGGACTGACGGCTCTCTGGTCCTCCTCTGAGTAGTAGCGTCGAGGTGAGGCCAGCGGTGGGTACTGGTAGCACAGGGATGGGGTGTAATATGGGATCTTTAGGGGAAATTTAAAGCATTTCAGAAAGCCACTTTTTGAAAGAAGGTTTTGCAATCATGCAATGTCTGATTTTTTTTTTTTTTGCTTAAACACAGCTATTGTCCTAAAAGAGGAAGTTGCTCTGCCAAAATAGATTCCAGTGCTCAGCAACAACACGTGGTGTGGATGACATTTCAGTGAAAATGTCCCAGGCTTTCCACAACATGGAGGGTGGTTGTTGAAATCACAGTCAAGAGTCATTATTGTTTTTATGAAAATAGCTTTGGATTATTTTGGTTTTTATTTGTAGCTAATTCTAAAGAAAATATGGATTCTAAAACCAGAGCAACAGCTGACATAAGGTGTTTCGGTCAGTTAATAAACAATAACTACTGTGAGATATGAACACTTTAAAAACATAAGAAACACCATACATTTTCTGGCTGTTAATTCTTGTGTCAAGCGTACGTTTGCACAGACAAACTCACCTGTGATGACAGGGTGAGCGGAGCCAGTGGCGTCTCCAGGTGAAGGTGCAGAGACTCGTTGCTGAGGGGGAACGGCTGGATGAGCTGCTGAGGAGACACGGCCTGCAGCTCCGTCAGGTGGTTCACGGGGGAACCCTCAAAGTCCGGCGGCTGGACCCGGTCAGAGTGGAAAGGCCATCTGTGATCTGACAAGTGAGGGATGTTAGAGCTGTGTGATGAGTTACCATCTTGTTAGAGCAGTAAATCCCATATTCTTACCTTCGTAAATCTCCCCCACGTTCAGGTAGGGGTACAGGTCAACCGGCGGTCGATAAGTCTCCGGCTCATGTGGAATAGCATCCTCGGATGCCTATTGGAGATTTAAAAATATATATGTTTTCCAATCAAAAAGATATTACTGCTTAGACAATTTAAAAACAACCTCTCAACATATTTGGATTAAACATGGCTAAATTATAAACATAAGTCCCAGTAAAGCGCACGCAAAGATAAAAAAATCAGGTTTTCTACTCAGTATGTTTAACTTTGTGTCCTAAACCTGTAAAACAATCAGTGAAATCCCTCCAGCCTCCCTCTCTCATCTGACCAAACACTCATCTCTCCATTCAACTGAAATAAAGCTATAAAACAGAAGCACTTACAGACGTTATGACAAAGCCATCCATCATGTAAACAAGGCAGCATGAGAGTCTTGACTTTTACAGCTTGTGATAAAAGTTATGTTTTTCCTATTGCTACACTGAGAAACACGCAATGTCGGCTTCAGCAGGCAAAAATGGGAACTGAAAGTGAGAAATCAGCTAAGCTGGACCCTATGCAGGCGACATTCATAACACCCAATTGTCAAACTCATATGATCACCTAGTTCCTGATGGCCACTGATTGGTTTTAAATGCATTTCCTGCAGTTTTTTTTAAAAGTTCAGACATACAGCAAACCAGAGAGAAACCTGCTCACTGTTTGACTGGGTGCATTAAAATGTACATTTGTTATCATACCTTTAAGAAAATGAATTTGCAACTCTTTCTGAGTTGTAGATCTACTTGTGCTGTGATGTGATTACATTTTAATAAAACATAACTTTTTCAAACAGGCTTTATAAGTGAGCAGGAAACCAGTTTTTCTCTCTAAATCTGCTACATGAAATGAGCTGATCAGTTGATCTCTCACACAGAGATTTAATGCCAGTCACACCTCAGTATGATTAATTCATGTTGGATTTTTTTTTTTGGTAATTATTATTTTAAGCATACTGCTCTCAGGAGCTGAAACCAAAAGCGAAGTTTGGATCCTCGCTTGTTCCCCTTTTAGTTTGGCATTCTGGTTTCAATAGAGGAAGTTCTGACCATGAGAATGAAACCAGTGAAAACATGACTGAAATGGTCTGAGGCTCCGTGTTCCTTTGAGTCCCTTTTCCAAGCAAGCTGGGGGGTTGAGGGGGGGCCGCTAACATGCAAATAAAAAGAGGAACTATTTATATGCAGTAAAAAATATGAGTGGTGTCATTTTAATCGTAAACTGAGTAGCATAGGTGCTGTATCTTTTACATGTATAATCGTTTTTAGGGGAAGGAAAAAAAAGAAAATGACACAGGCTTTGTGATGTTAGAAAAGAAGTTTTTCTTCAGGTCAGGTGAACTGATTACCTGAAAACTGTAACGTTTTTTTTAATGCAAAACAAGAATCCCAGAGATGCTGAGTCGAATCAGATGTAAAAACCGGGAGGCGTTTTCCTCATTCGAGGGGCTGCATGAGACAATCAATCCGAGTTTTCATTTATAATAATTTTGGAATTCTATTATTTGAGCTATACAAGATAATTTGTTAACATAACATATGTTTAATGACATTTATAAGTAGCATTTATTCAAAAGAAACATGATTCATGCAAGTTAAAAATTTGACCAAATGTCTAAAAACAAGTACTGACATCTTTTCTGGTTAGTATGGGAGAAAACGAAAAAACAAAAAAAAAAAAAACAGTTTTTCTTGTCTTGTTATTTTTGCTAATTCTACCATCTTCCAGATAAACTAGGTAGCATCGTTTATGTTTGGACACTGTTCAAACACTCAGCAACGGCTTGCTTTACATGCATTCATATCAGTGATTTGAACAGATGTAAAGGTAACATAGAAGCAGGATTTTTACAAAATTCTGTCTTTGTCATGGAATCTGTTCATTGTTCCAGCAGAACAATTCCAAACTTCAGTACGCACATTTCATACAGCACAACTCTGTGTGTGTGTGTGTGTGTGTGTGTGTGTGTGTGTGTGTGTGTGTGTGTGTATATATATATATATATATATATATATATATATTTTTTTTTTTAAATATTGACATATTTTCAAATATTTAAAAAATATTTTAAAAATAAAACTAAATGACCGTTAAGAATGGGAAAAACATCGATTTTTAAAAAAATGTTGCTTCACCTGTGAAAATGTCTAAAATAGTAAAAATGCAAATCAGCAACCCACTTTGAGTGGGGAATATATCCGTAACAATCAGCAATCAACTTCAGTAATTTATCAGCTTTCTTATCAAAACTGCATAAAGGAGACACAACCGGAAACTTTGAGTAAAATCTGGGTTTTGATTGGATCATAAATGAATACCTCCTAACTTATCTTTCTTATTGCCACCAGGCCAGATTTGTAGATCGTACTAATACTGGAGCTGTCGACACATTTCCCAGCTCCAGAGTTGAATCTGTCAGTACAGACAGACAGCCATGTCTTGACAGTTGTGCATCTGCCACTCTTTCTATTTTTTAAAGGAACAGTACTCCATGAGAAGCTTAAATGGTTTTATGTTGTTTTATAACTTCCTCACAACTTTTCCGGTCTGCTTGCTGTTTGTTCGCTGTTGTTCTCCAGCAAGACTGAGGGTCTCAAAGCATAGCTGTGTTTATACTGAGACTTAGATGAAAGCAGTTGGTTATAATTCTGTTTAGTGTGGAAAAAGTTTAAAGGCATGGTATTGGGATACTTTTGCATTTATGGTCATACATTAAATATCACCAACGCCACCCTCTGGTTTTAAATGCTTAACGGTGTTTCTCACCTGATCTACAGAAAGACCCACACAGTTATTTGTACAGCTGTGCTGGAATGGAAATTTACCAGAAGCAATCTTGGATGTGATGAAACCGTTTCCTGTACATTACACAAAGGAAGCAAGGCCAGTGTGCGGGGGCTTAATATGGTCTGCCTTTCAGTGTTTTACTACTTGAGACCGCAGCGGCTGTTTTTATTCAGGAGACGGTCCATTAAAGGGAGGAGGCAGGATGCATCCTCTTGAGTGGCTCTGGCAGGCTCTGGAGATCTCTTCCTACACATGATGGTCCTCGGTGCAGTAAGTGCAGCTCTGGGGCGACTGTTTCCAAATACTCGCTCTGTCTCCATCTGCTGGAAAGAGCTGCTGGACGCGACCAGTATCCGGGATACACCGAGTTCAGATGCATAAAGGAGACACAACCAAAACAGCAGATCCAGGCCCCAGTGTTTTTTTCTTTTTCATTTTTTTAAATCTTCCTCCATAAATATTTGGTTCATTTAGGTGGTCGAAATTTGGGAGAAATGAGGGCTTGTGTGCTGCATCCACCTTTCGGATTTGGACATATCGCCGAATTTGCTCCACACCGCAGCCAGTGAAAGCAGCAGCATCCAGGAGCCAGAGTTGCCCCATCCACCACCACCCCGTGAAACCGTCACGGCGCCGAGGCCAGAAGCGCATGGAAACATGGCTGCTATGAGGACTTTAACCGTGGCGGGGCTGTTTTTGGCGTTCTGCGCGCTGGGGCTGATAGCCGTGGCGATAAGCACCGACAACTGGTACGAGACGGACGCCAGGCGGCACCGGGAGCGCTGCAAGAATTACTCCAACAAAAGAAACGACCCGGGCTACATCTACATCTCCAACAACAACCTCCCGCTCCGCATGCTGCCGAGGGAGAAACACGCAGAGAGGAAGGGCGACATTCTGCTGCGGGCCAAGAGGCACTTCTTGCCTCCCGCCTCGGCCATGGAGTCCCTCTGCAGTCGGCACTTCAACTCCACCATCACCGGGCTGTGGAGAAAGTGCCACCGGGAAGGATTCGACCTGGAGACGGAGGATTTGATCTTTAAAGGTCTGAATGTTTATTTGGTGTTTAATGGTGTTGAATTAATCGTTTGGGTTGTGTGCATGAGCGGCGCTGCGCTGTGTACTTTCGCTATCCAAGGTGCTGATGCTGCGCACAGACCCTCAAGGCCTCTACGCAGCAACATGGAGTACAGTTACAATGCCATCGACGAGCTTTGTGTTTTCTTTCTTTCTTTTTTTTTCCCCTCCAAGCGCGAAAGGGTGAGCTGTAGTAACAGGAGCTGGGAGATGCGTGCGGAAAAGCTTACTGTACAACAGAGTGGGTGGATAGAAGGGTGGGTGGTGGTGGAAGAGATGGGAAGGATGGGGGAGGGTGGCGGGTTGGTAGCTGTTTTGTGGCGAAGGAAAGAAGGGGGTGGCAGCAGAGAGCCGTGTGATATCCTTCCCATCTGATCTGAGCGCTAATGCGAGACGTCCTCTTTGTGTTGTTTACATCCTCAGGATTGGTTCCGCGCTGCACACCCATAAAATACTACTACTCTTCTGCAGCGCTGCCCAGAAACCTGCCAATAAATCTGACGAAGACTATCAGGCAGGATGAGTGGCACGCACTCCGTGAGTAGACACCACATTTTATTTATTTATTTTTGTTTTATTAGTCTGATTACGTGTAAAAAAAAATAAAAAATAGGATGCACAGCTTTTAAAAACAAAACAAACAATAAAACCCTGTGCTGTGCGTTTCTTCAGACCTCCAGAGGATGACTGCCAGTTTCATCGGCATGGCCATATCCATCATCCTGTTCGGCTGGATCATAGGCGTGCTGGGCTGCTGTCAGGAGCATGATCTGATGCAGTACGTGGCTGGACTCCTCTTCCTCATGGGAGGTAAGATAAGTCCTGCCTTAGCTCACCACACAGGGGCAGTGTGGTCTCTCTGAGGGTGCTTTTAAATGTCTCATCCGCTGCACTGGCCTCGTTGCCCATTAGAAACGATGCGTCCGCGAATCCACCATATTGTTAGTGGCAAGTTCGTCTTGAAAAGGCAGGTTTACGAAGAAAACCCCCCAAAAAGTTAAATTCATTTTGATAAATATGTTTCATTTACAGTAATAAATGTTCATCTATATGATAGGAGTCATTAAGATACAAATGGATAACTGTAATTCAATGTAAAATGGAACAACCACTGTGAATCAATAAAATACAATTACAATGCCTTTATCTTAATTTGTAATTTGTTACAAAGGAGTAACGCAGGAAACTGAAGTAGTTCCCTCAAAATTTAAGACAGCTAGCTATCTTAAAACCTTAAAAGACATATTGAGAGCGGTGATTGAAAAGAACTTGTAAAAGTAGCTGGTTTGATCATTTTAAACCCTTGAAGGTTATCAGTGTTGAGCCTTAAACCTAAAAAAGCTTCACAGTATCACAACCCAGCCACATAGCTCAACACTAAAACTCGGCAACAGAACCACTCATGCCCTATCTTCTCTTCTATACTGCGAAACTGTTTTGTCATCATGTCTGACTTGTTTTGTTTTTCCCCTCCATCAGGGACATGCTGCATAATCTCCCTCTGCACATGCGTGGCTGGGATCAACTTTGAACTGTCCCGCTATCCCCGCTACATGTTTGGTATACCAGAGGATATCAGCCACGGTTACGGCTGGTCCATGTTTTGCGCTTGGGGTGGACTGGGCCTCACATTGCTGGCAGGCTTCCTGTGCACGCTGGCTCCTTCCCTCTATCCCCCTCACACCCCTGTGGCTCACAAGCCCAGACAGGAGAACGGCTGCGTGTGACGGGCCGTGACCACCCAAACAGACGCCTGTCTCATCCTGAAACAGTTTCTGAGCCTCGCTCCGCAGACAGTTTCATCCCGGGTCACTGAGCGCCTTCAGACAGAGAAAAAGTACAGGCTCCCAGACAGACAGAAATGATAAAGAGGTGACATTTGCCTGAAGCTTAGTTCCTCTGGTGCTTTTTTCCGAACGAACTCTTATGTGTCATTGCTTGCTCTCCAGGAGGGGGACATCATCATTTCTTCCTATAAATTCTGCTAGATTGAGAAGAAGAGAAACAGAAAAAGAAAAACTGGCAGAAGCTCAATAGCAGAACTTTGAAACAAACTGTATTGAAGAGAAAATTATTGATGTGCATCATCACATTTCAAAGGGCAACTGTGTATCATTATGTACCCATTCAAAACTATAAATATGTACATGTACTTTTTGAACTGTAAGTATGCAGATGCATTTGTGTTTATTCAAGGAAAAATATGAGCATTAAGACCAAACAGTGTTTGAGGGAAATGTTTTGTTTGTTCTCGAGGTCTTACCTTCATCAAGATATTTTTTGAAAAAATAAAACAGCCATTTAAAACTAATAAACTGATATATAAATGTTTTTATAGATGCCGTTTAAACTGACGTGGGCTCACTGGTGTCTCAGCAGGCAGAGGAACAGCAGCTTGGATTCCTCTTAACTCGTAACTGCTTACATGTGCAAATCCAAACAGTCAGAACACGACACGAGTCAGAAACCTAAACTGAATTATGAACTTTTCCCAAATCGGACAGGAGCAAGTAGTGAAGCCATTTTCAGCTGTCAGTTAGAGGTAAATAAACTACATATAATACGAGTAAAGCCAGTTGTATTCATCAGACTCTCTTCTATCTTAAATCACAAAGAAATTAAAACCAGTATTTTTAAAACAATTGCTTTACTCATATGTGTCTCCCCTGATTCATTTTGCAGTGTAAAAATGTAATGAAATGTTATAACTTTGAGGGGGTTTTTTGTGTAAAAAGTATATCATATTACAAAGAAAACTGTGTGTGGGTTAAATGTAGCAGTGCAGTACCGACAGGGCTGACAAGATCAGTAACTTCATAAAGTCCAGAACCACTAAAAATTGTTCCTCTGTCAACATGTAGAGGGCGCCTCAGGTTTTCATGGTTCACTGCCTACAGAACAAAACAAACAAAATAAGTCATTAATTACGTTTTTTTTAATAAATCAGGAAAAACGCAATTCATAATTTTTATTTGTCTCATTTTTGACTCCATTTATCCATAAATTCATCCATCCATCACATAGTTTTACAAAACTTTACAGTACTTTTTATGGAAATATAATGTTTTTAGGAACAGCCAGGATATAATGTATTTCTGTCTCAAAATGAATTGTCTTAAAGTTAAACTGGACTTTAGTTCTGCTGTCAACTAACATATCCTAAAGGGTCAGTTACTGTATATAAATGTGGAAACTACAGGAACTAACACAAAAAATATCTAATTACATACTGTACCTTTATTTGCTTTTGCCATTAAGTTTAAATGTGACATTTACATTTTCAAGAGTCGGTGTTTACTTTTCCTTGTTTTCAAAGGTATTTCTTTTATTAATTAACATTAATCACCCAAGATGATGTTTAAAAAGTGGATCACTTGCACTTTCATTATTACACATGCTGGTAAATGAAACATGTGGTCACAGCTGACTCTGCTGTGTTGAAACAGCAAGGCTGCTAACCCACAATATATTCAGCAATTATTTCTGACAGAAACACAAGTTCTCTTGAAGGTTTTATTTCTCAGTGCAGAGAGGAAGGGGTCAAAGTTTTCTCAGGTCAACTCGGTGCTACATTCCTGACCTTTCCTTGTTTGTCCTGAAAATGTGTCTTACTGGGAAACAGTCTGCTCCCTTTAAGCTCACCCTGCTGCTTTGCGCCTCCACACAAAAGCCGACTAAATCCACAAAAGGAAAACGTGCCTTTGAGTCAAAAAAGAAAAAGAAACAAAACAAAAAAAACCTAGACATTTAAGAACAGTTGCAACCCGCTACCTTAATCTCACTCTGTGGAAAATGTACCCTTATTTTTCAGTCGAATCTTCTGAGCCCTGTGCGGTGCCTCTGGAAATTAAGAGCAGTGCAGACATATAGGGTTTCTGTACACACAAAGCTCCTGCAGTTCAGTTTTTTTTTTTTTTTTGACGATGCCGGTTAGCCATGTGCTGAGCTACAGAGGGCTGTCTTAGAAAGGGGGTCCCTCAGGGGAAGCTGGACTGTGAGGAAAACCAGACAGAGGAAATCACACCCAGTGGCAGCCCAACTGGCCGCCCTCAAATCTGCAGAAAGCATTGCTGGTAAAGAGAGGGAGCACACTTCTGGCAGCTCGTTTGTGGGTTTTTTGTTGTTGTTGTTGTTGTTTTTTGCAGATGCTGGGTGGAGCGGGTGAATTTTACACAGTAATTAAACAATCCACAGATTACAGAAGGCTCTGAAAAGCTGAAGGTTTGGGGATCACAGACGCAAACAGACTGTAAACTGTTTTCTCTTTTCCATTTCTAGGACAGACAGTATGTCTAAAATAAGAACTTATTTTCCAGCTGAAAACAACAACAGGAGCAAACTGGATTTTGTTCATTGTTCTATTTACAGCAAACTGGCCTTATCTGGAAGTGTTCAGAAGTTTACCACAGTAATATTTCACATGAATCATGAACTGCATCTGACAGATAAACGAGCAGACAATAGTGACAGTGGCTGCTTTGGAGCAAACATGTTTCATACTCCGGCGGGTCACTTCCAGATGGTTTGCAGGAGGCAGCGACAGACTTTAGACGCCCATTAACCAGGTCCAATTTGAAGGGACAGCCGAGTCTGCCACTCGCGTGGTGCCAGGAATAACTCTAGTGACATAATGAACGGAAAGCAAACAGGACAGTTTATGCAAAATTCACAGTTCAAAGAAAAAAGTAGATTTACAGCAGAAAGCCTGAGAGCTAAGGAAAGGCATGAAAAAATAATCATGACATCCAGACCGAAACGCAGATGGATGCAGGGCCGGCGAGAGGTTGCATGAGGCCCCAGAAATGTGTCTGGGACACCCACACACAGCTTTAGTCCATCAGTGTAATAGTTATGCACTCTGTAGAGTTGGGAAGACCAGTGTTTGTTTCCATTAAAACCACAGAGAAACAAAAAAAATGCTGTTACTTATTGATCTGTAAACAAAAAGCGTGTGAATGGAAAGTGACACCAACTCTAAAATAAGCAGTGGAGATGGTTAAACTAGCTTCATGATGAGATTCTGTTAACATTACCGCTTAAACTATGAAGATTTTCTTGCATCTAAGTGCATCTAAGCAAAGTGGAATACTATCAAATTATAGCATTTATTTTCCCTAATTATGTCTTACAACTCATGAAAACCAAAAATTCATTTTCTTAGAAAATGTAGCTTTTACTTAAAATAAAACAAAAATTGTTTGTTGCACAAATGTTGTTGTGGCTTACTTGGTCATGGAGGAGAATGCTGAGTTGACAGTTAAGCAGACAGTCATTCACACACACACAAGAGAAGAATGATGGAAAGTTTAGTGGAATAAAAAAGTGTGCGCAAGCCAAAGTGAGAGTTGGAGCTTCTATGAAGGACGTGGGCTGCAACTGCTGCATTCATTAGTGAATAAAGTCACTAATTAACATGAGAAGTGTCTGAAGCTGGGAGAAAAAGCACCGGACTGCTGCTCAGAGGTCCAGTTAACGCTTTCCAGATGAAAGTGATTTCTAGGTCAGAGTCTGGAGCATGAGTAGAGAGGGATGGAATCCAAGATGCTTGAAGTTTCCATAATGAGTGAGGATTTAGGGAACCGTGTCATCTTCTGGTGTTGATGACGTCACTCAGACGACCACGGTCTGGACATCAGGTTGTTGTCGAGAATTTCAGGTTTCAATGACAATAACACCACTGTGAAGGACTGATCAACTAACTGACCTGACAGTAATCCAACCACAGAGAATCTAAGGACAATAAGAGAAAGGTGAGACAGCAGAACCGACACTGCACATACAATGTGGCTGCTTTTAAAGCAAACTTTTAACTTTTAAGCATTATATGGATGTAATTTTCAGACCTTTCTGTTTTTTATTGTTTTTTTTTATCAACAAAAATATATATTTATATAAGATTCACTGCTTGAATTACTGAAATTATATTTTTTGCAAAACTTCCCGTAAATTCAAGTTCTGTAAAATGTACTCTAACTCCGGCCTGCTTTTCAACCTGACCGCAACAAAAGGGGGAATTCATTGTTATGAAATATATATTTATTCAATGAACTATCAATAACGTTCAAATAATACAGACTGACATCTGAGAACATTAAGTTTAATCATTCTGACCGAACAAACCCCGTCTAGTAGTGGTGGCACAGCCATAATTCATCCACTCGTTGCTTTTTTCCCACTCCTGTCTGACAGGAATGTGTTGATATTTTTGTTCCAGCTCCCCGCATAGCTCAGCGGAACGAGAACACCCAAAAGGTCAGGGTGAAATACTTCAGAGGCATATTCACAAACCACAGTACACTTTAAAGTTGCTTGATGAACTGGGTGGCTCTTTTATATTACTCACTGTCTCCCAAACACATTCATGAGCCCACATTGAGGAACTCGGTCTTCAGGCGGCTCAGTCTGGTGCCATGGCTGCGGATGATGAGAGACAGCAGCTCATGTCTGTCTCTGAGTCCCTGAGAGATGTCGGTGGTTTCCCTCAGAGCGCCTCTGATGTCGCTCACTTGCTTCACCACGTAGCCGTTCAGCTGCTCTTCCTCCCTCAGCTCAGTCTCTTGACTTTGCTTGAACTTCACCTCCAGCTCCACCAGCGACTTGTCCACGCTGGAGAAGGCCTCGCCGATCTGGGAGATCTCCTTCAGGAGGAACTTCCCGTAGCTGTCCTCTCCGTCCAGGTCGTGCGCCACGGCGCGGCCGATGCCCTCCAGCAGCCGCGCCGCGTCCTCCGCCTGCAGCTTGGTGATGATGAAGTCGTCGCGCACCGCGGCGTCGCTCTCCTCCGCGGCCGCGCACGGAACCACGTCGGAGAACTTGAACAGCATCTGGCAGTGCTCCGGGTCGACCGTCTCCTCATAATCCCCGTCCGGGACGAAGAAGTGGTGGAAGGTGCCGTTGGAGATCTCCGGCTGGAGGGGCCCCTCGTAGACCGCCGAGGACAGGGGCCACGATGCGAGCAGGACGAGCAGCAGCGGGACGGGATCCATCCTGCACCTTCCGTCTCTGTGCATCTGGACGGGCAGCCGGATCCGGAGCACAGTTTTTATCCCGACTCAAGTTACACAGTCAGTCCCACTTCACAGGAAAGAGACAGACTGCCTCTTTCAGTGAGAGGGGCCCCGGTGGCCCCGGTGGCCTCTAATTCACGCACACGCATATTTTCCTTTTAATGTCTCATATATCAGAACAGAGACTTCTTCTCCGTTTGTTTTTCTCAAATATTTTATGGAAGTACATAGACAGACTGACAATCTGTCCAGCCTCTAACCCAGCGATGGACTGAGGTGGACAACTCTACTCTAGTACTTGAGTAAAAGTATTGATATGGTCAAATCTTACTCAGCTACAAGTCAAAAGTTTACTCTAATCAAACTTTTAAAAATACTAAAATACTCAAAAGTGCATTCATTTAGAAATACTCAAGTATTCAACGGTTCAAATTATATTTTCTAATATTAATACATTGCTGTGTTGTTTTCTGAGTGCTTCTACAGAACGCTGTAACTTCCTGAAACCACCAGATGATGTTTCGACAAAAAGAATACAACTGTACAGACTTCAGGATAAAAACTGCAGCAAAAAGCCATTTTTATCTTTTCTTTTTATTGAAAATGTCCCCCTCTCGCCCCAATCCCAGGTGTGAGCGGTGACTGCGAGGAGCACAGCATGTGGCTAATTGCATTTCAGGAAAGAAAACAGCAACAGCGGACTAAAGCTACGCTGAGCAAAAAGGAACAAGTAACGACAAGCTTCCTGGAAACGTAGTGGAGTTGACAGTAATATATTTGTTTTTGAAATGGAGTGGAGTGAAAGTTGTAAGCTTCCCCAAAATAAATACTCAAGTAAAGTAAAGATACTCAAAAAATGTACTTAAGTGCAATCTTCAAGTAAACGTACTGTCCACCGCTGCTACTGGAGGCAGATGCCAGCTCCCCTGCAATCCTTCACATACAAGAGGTTATAATCAATGGATTAAGAGAAATACAGTATTTTGTTAAAGTATGATGTTGTTAAAAAGTTTTTACTCCCCCCCCCAAGATTATTTTGTGCTTTTTTTTGCCACACACACTCTAATGTCTCTGATAAGGATGCACTGATCCACTTTTTTCACTATGGATACCGATGCAGATATCTGAGGTTTGGTATCGGCCAATACCGATCCGATCCGATATAAAACCAGCGATGACCAGAACTTAAATGACTTAAACTGTTTCCTTTTTGAAAACACAGTCATAAATGAACTGAATTATAAATTTATTTGACAACTCTGCACCAGTGTGATTAATGAAATTGAATAAAATATGGTAATCAGAGATAATTTGGCATTTAACAAGGAGGTAGTTATATTTTCATAGAGCCTGTCATGATCTCTTAATGTTTGTGTTTTCAGTTGTGAACTGGACTAGTTTTGTTGATTTTTGTCACCTACATTGTTCCATACAGTGTTCATTCCTTTGTGTTGAGATTCTTTGCTCTTGTTGTGTTTTCTGAGTACTGTTTTTGATTCCTATTTTGGTGTTACTGTTTAGAGTTTGATTAGTGACATCCTCTCCATCTGTATTTAAGTGTTTTATTTATGTGTTAAGGTTCTTTCCCAGTTTCACCAGTTTGTCAAACCTTGTCCTTTATCCACTTTCCCACTTCGAAAGCCAGTTAGTTTAATTTCCTCCTTTCCATCCTGTTTTATTTTCTGCAGTCCTCCGGGCTGTTTGTCCTTTTCTTCTGTCATCATTATCTTTTCTAAGTCTTATTATAAATGGATTTCAACCCTCTTCAAGTAACTTTAATATTCCTTTCTGGATTTATTTCCTTCTCGATCACAAAATCTGACATTACTAGATGTTTTTTGTTAGATTTTCTCCATAAATAGATGAAATCCTCATTTGAAAATGTGATAAAAAGCAAAACAACAAAGAAAAACCGAAGAAGTATTTTTTTTTTGCGCGTGAAGAGCACATACATCTCTGATTAAGGAAGCAACTGGCTACAGACGACTTTTATGAGTGTGGTGTACATAAAAAGTGCAACTGTTCAGTGACACATAAAGGAGTTAAACAAGGAGGTTTTCACCATTGTGTCAATTTGAATAAAACACACTATTTAAGTATTTGGGAAGCCAAGATACCTGGAGGACACAGGATTCACAGTTTCCAAAAACAAGACCAATTTTCAACAATTAGGCTTCAGAGTGGTTTTCCATTTTGTCACTGTGGATCTTAACTGAGCTATAATGATGCAGAGACAGAATTCATTCTGGGAAAATCTTTATGCTTTTCTCTCTTTCTGTGGTTTGAACTGAATGTGCATTTGCAGATGACAAGCAATGTTTCCTGAAATGGAAATATACCAAATATTTCCACTGCAGAACGGTGTTTGTTTGCAACGCGGAGCAGCCTGAAGTACTTAAGATCAACTCACTTCTGGGTCGGAGCATTGTTGCTACAAAGATTTATCTGTATTCTTTAAAGCTGTCTTTCAATTACTCTTTATTAACATTTAAAAACATGATTCATTGTCATAAATCGCCACACAGACTTTGATAAACATATTTGTTTTCACCACTTTGAAAGTATTTCTGGGATTTTTCTTTACAAATTAATCTGTTGCCAAACAACCTTTAAGTTATACAAAATACTTTTGCGGTTTTACATCGAAACGCAGGATTTTTAGACTATTGGTGGGTAGATATTAGAAAAATAAGATCCTTATAAAATAAAAAGGATTTCATACTTGCCTTTTTAGTTAAGGCCACCAGTGTTTACTTTAAATTATTACCAAAGATTCCAGCTTTTTAAAGCTACGTTGCGCTTATTTCAATGGGGTTTGCTCCACCTGCATCAGAATGTCTGTAATATAATCATTGTAATATCATAACAACTCAGTGTTTACTTGTCTAAAACCCATCAGAAGGGCTGATTTAGAAAATGAAGATGTTTTATTGTTTATTCAGAGTGTACTCAGGACGTCTTCAGGTGGTTTTATTGTTACGCACAGAGAGAGCGCTCCCTGCCCCCCGCCTCCTCCACTGAACATCCTGTGTCGGACAATCGGGCCGTCACAGGGTGGTCTCAGTTAGGGCTCTCAGCTTGTCGGCACCATGCAGAAGAACTGGAAACACATGGGGAGCTGTAAACACGGGTCCACTTCCTGTGTTTAATACATCCATCCTCAGAACATACAATATCTGGCACGTCGTAGTTATTATGCAACACCATATGGAGGGTTTAAAAACACAGTTTTCTATAAGACAATACACAACGGGGCCAGGATAAAAAGAGTAAGATTGAAAAATGTGCAACAGAGCTGCCAGCTGCATCGCATTCTGCTCTCCGTTATCAGCTGAGAGCAGGAAGCGGATCGGAGCAGCAGGATGAAAGCAGACTTGGAGGCTTTAACAGGAGCAAAGAATCAGCAGCGGCTCAAGGAAAACTGAAAGGTTCAGGAGGCTGCATGGCGAAACTTTGAAACTAGCATCACGAAGACTGGTTGGAAAAATGGTGCGTGTAAATCTCTTTCTTTGGCTGTTATGAGTGGTTTATAAAGGCTGACGGCTGCGTCAGAACAGGACTGTTGAAACTAGAGTTGCCTTCTGTTTCTTGTCCCTGAAAGCTGAAATTTTGGAAAACGCGGTGGTGAGGACAGGACGCGGCTGGACCCAGGTTGTAGTGAGAAACGATGTTTTTAATGAGAATCACAAAAGGGAACAGAAATCCAGGCAGCACAGGTGAACAATGAGGCTGGGAACTCAGACACACTGAAACTAAACCGGACAGCGAGACACAACTGATGACTCACGACAAGGATCAGCGAACACAGGTGGGATTAAATACACAGGGAGGGGAAACGAGAGGCAGCTGGGATCAGCAACAACACAGGGACTAAATTAACACAAAAATCCACATCCTCACAATTTCTCCTCTTTTCTCCCCTTAATATTCAAGACTGAAAAATAAAACATTTACTAAAGCAGTAATGATGTAAAAAGTTTAAATAGTTATAATTAGTAATCTATCTTCTAGCTCACATGTGTCAAACTCACATGTGGCCTGTCATGTCATTTTATATCATTTCATTTTGAACTGTTGATTTTATTTTTGTACCATTTTTTAATGGTTCAAAAATACATTTTACACTTTTATTTTAAAGTGTTGATTTTGTTTTTGAACCATTTTTAAAGTGTTAATTTTATTTTTGAACCCTTATTT